ACGAGCTGTGAGTAAGTGGGTCAAATGTAAATGACGAACACCTGTGTCTGGTTCCAGTAATTGGCGTGGAGAGACCGCATAAAGAGGCCCGGGAATGAGCTGTGAGGCAGAGAGAGACCGACTGGGGAGAGACTGTGCCTGCTCTGGAGAGGCCTGTGATTGTGAAATATTGAGCGCTGGTAGCCGGTTAATGTTAAATGATATAATAGCACCATGGATTAGAGAAAAATTTGATTAGGGCTGGTGAATTTTAATGCCACATTATCTCAGATGAAAAATGTTCTTGTTTCATCGCATCCAAATTGCTTTCTGAGATGAACTGAACTTCTGTCTGCTCCAAAAACAAAGAAATTAAAACTGTATCATACCTTTGTATATACTTCATCATAAGTATATGATTAGCAATCTGCTGACATAAAAACATACACTGAAATCATTTATCCTTTTGAAGGTCTGTACACCGTAATACATCTATTATAAAATCAACATGGAATGTTACATTAATAAAAATTAAACATTTAGTCAGAACACATGCACCCAAACATCATGAAATCAGCAAATAATTAAACCGCATTCATCCATTACCTCTTCATTTGAAGATGTTGAATCATTTGACTTGCAAACCTGAATGTGGAGAGCCAGCACTTGCAGGGGCATGCTGTTGTTGCACATTTGGCAAGTAGCTTTTGGCATTTTTTTTAATTCTCTGGCATCATTAAGGGAGAGTATTAAGGTCCAGTTCCTCTTGTAGAGGAGCTACATACAGCATTGTCTTTCCAGATGCAGATTTGATTTGGGATCCAGTGTAACCTTCTGAGTCTGGAGGAATAGTGTTTAGCTGTCTTATACCACACCCCCCTATAAACAAAGATAAAATTAACATGACAAATGTTTTTATAACCCAAAACATACTGACTCAAGTGGTAATAAAGAAAATATAAAGTCACCAGTAGCCTTATAAAAATCCATCCTCCACTCAAACCCTCCATTTTCGGGAATGCTTCATACATTATGCTGGAAAACTATTGTAAAATGCAAAGAAACTCACTAATTTTTAATATTTGTTTCTATTACCTGTACTTATGATTCTACTATAAATTTACTTTTTCCAGTTGTACAAAAAGACAAACACACTAACATACCTCTGAATGTGTCATGTCCATTGCAATTGAGAAAGTCCTTTTGCCAAGCCCTGCTTGAACAAGCTTAAGTTCGTGTGCAGGTGAAGGGGTAGTCTCAGAATTTTTATCCAAAAGATATACATTTAAATCATAAGGTTTAAATGCTTTTGCAGTCTTGGTATGTGTTCTGGATGCTACATTTATTCTTTTTTTCCCCGCAGACTGCATGTCTTCGGAACATGTTAGGAAAGGCCCTACGAGGAAAAGAAAAAATTAATAATTGATATTTTTTTTCCAACATAAAATTAATGTTTGTAGGTATACAGTAATAAAAATTAGTTTATGTTTAACTAAGTTTGTTTAACTTAAAAATGTCAGCTTTAATAGTGTAGGGGTTTGACTATGTAAATGACAGAGTGCCTGCAAATTAAAGTTTTGAACTTAAGAGTGTATGCGAGTATAATGAGAAACAATGAGAAAACCTTTATATTGTGCATTCAGAAAGTATTCAGAACGCTTCACTCTATAATGTTGTCATTGTGGAGTAAAAAACAAACAAAGTACACTTGAACCACGATGACAACACATTTTAGCACATTTATTAAAATAAAATAAAAAAACACATTGATTTAAGTATTAAAGGGGTCATATGATGCGATTTCAAGTTTTCCTTTCTCTTTGGAGTGTTACAAGCTCTTCGTGCATAAAGAAGATCTGTAAAGTTGCAAAGACTAAAGTCTCAAATCCAAAGAGATATTCTTTATAAAAGTTA